AACAAAAAAAAACAACCAGTGGGTTAGATCTATCGTATTTGAGGACGTACAATATAATCTTATTAGTAGAAACTTATTTTGCCTTTTACTGTGCGACTACACCAACCAAGGCCACCCATTGAATTTTCATACAAATTAGCCAATGGAAATATTTAATGAGGTACTTTTCTTCCAAGGTCGAGCAAGTCCACGGTCGGTTAGAACAGCTGCATTTTTTTTCAACCAATATTTATTTTTTCAATATAAAAATCTAGACCTATTTCTTCATACCGATCCGAATACCATTTCGTTCATTTTCGTCCTGGTAACAATCTTCTTGGTCCAGATATAAGAAGGTAAGCAAAATTACAAATACTAGGGGAGTCTTCTGTCTTGCGTCTTACTCCAATTTTCTTCATACAGGATATCCACATTGAAAGGGGTTCGAATGAAAATTACAACTGTTATGCTTAATTCAAATTTGATCTCGGGAAAGAAATATATAATTTAAGATTTATTGATTTATATCGAGTCTATATGTTGTCTTCTGTTATATTTACAAGAATCGTCTCAATGAATAATCTAGTTTGAATTCGGAAGAAAAATATCCAATTTAAGATTAATTGTTTTAGATTTATTGAGGCTGGATGTTGTCTTCTGTTATATTTGCACGAATGTACGAAGTTCGAAATCAAGTTGTAATTGTGGAAATTTTTTCCCGGATCTGGCAGAAAGAGGATCGAGTAGAACCGCCATTAGTTCGGTGATAGACATCAATCGAGCCCCTCTTTTGATTGCTACGAAYTCAATCAATTTTCACGTCTCTTATATTTTCCGTGTGACGACATAAGTATTATCTATTTATGATARTATTTATCATCGAAACCTTGTTAAGGGGCAATATTATCATACTTGAGTATATTATGAATAAGGACAGGTTTTCCTTTACCCAAAGACGGTTATCCGTTTAAAAAGTGTTTTCAATTATCACTATAGCTAGTTTATTTTTCAATTTCCTATAATTATTTTTTTGTCAGATATACATTTTCCTATAGAACTTCCTGCTTCGTCTCAGTCGGCGTAATCGATATTGCAATTAGCTATATATATTACATATTATTATATTTATATAGCCAATTAGATATATTAACGACTGATATTAAGAAACGAATTACTTTCAAACATGCAATTAAAGATCATTTATCATGGATTTTTTTWATAAGCTAGGCCGGGAAGTACATATGAATTTATTATTTGTCCGGCACCGATTAAAAGGGGAACTCAGATTCTCCGATAGAAATCATTTATCATTTATTTTATCCATTTCTAATTAGTTAATTAGTAATTTATTCAACTGGAATATACATATAAATATCTTTCTATTCTGATTGGCTCAAAGAATGCATTTCTTGGCAAGAGATAGGGCGAAGATAAATTAGAAAAAAAAACCGTGGGCCGTTTAATTCTTCTTCTTTTTTTCCAAGTTTCAGGTATTACTTGACTTTCTGGGATGGCTCGTCATCTCTTCTTAATACCTGTCTTCATTCTGACCATTGCTGCTAGACTAACTAAAGGTGAGGTATCATTCAGCTTAATGATAGGCAAACAAYGCCCGTCATGTGCTATGAACCATCATGCTATCATAAATACCCCTCAAGTGACCCTCAAGCTATCAAGCCGTTCTGTTGAAGGTTGCATGAATGTCATTAGTTCTAAGAATCGGAAATTGTTTGAAAGGTTTTGATTTATGAGTGGAATATGGTCCTATGATTTAAGTTACTATACGATGTCAAGTTTATTTATTTATTTATTTCATTTCTGATAAAGAATTTTCGAAAGATTACGGGTTTTCCAGGTTAAGTTTGGTTGAGGCAAAGCCATGAATGTTATTTTCACTTCTATAGACATAGGTCCAGCTGTAAAAGGACTCGCATTTTCCTCATACCTCACTATTTACGTTTGGAGCATGATTGCGTATTTGATATAGAATACTATTGCTTCCTTTTAGTTGATTCGTCGGGGAGTAGTGTTTGTTACTCGCCTTATGGATGCTTCACTTCCGCCCCACCATTTGACCTCACACTGGTCCCCCTACCCCAASCCCCATGGAAAATTGATACAAAGCTTCTTCTCTACACGAGCTCGACCCCTGAGTACCAAACTATCAGGGACCTCGAGGTGATTAAGGTGCTCGAGGTGCTTGAACAAACACGGTTTGATCCAAAGCTACCGACAAAGATTGTAATCCATGGATTTGCTGCACTTGATTGTAAGTAAAAATCTTGTGGGATACCTGTGTTAATGCTAAAGCGGTTTATAATCCTATTGCTGGGTTTTGATCAGCTGATAAAAGTCCTTTAATCTCATTATCTGCTCCACATGATGGTCAAACACTGACCACCATACGCTGTCAACCAGAAAGAAATCTATTGAAAACTTGCCATTCAGGTGATAAGCATTCTGCACGAGACAGAAAATGACGTCAAACGAAACCCAGTTTTGTTGCTTGGAAATTTATTTATTAAAGATGTGAATTTTKTTTTGCGCGTCAAGCAAATTCTTCTCGGAAAAAAATTCCGAGCTCCAGGCTAGTGGTCATATCAAGGAGTTAACCATATACGGTCTTGGTGCCGACTACGTAGGCCATTTCGGCCGAGCTTCCTGATAAGTCTGTAAATCCAGGGAAAGCGGTGTTGGGGCCGAAATACCCGGCATAGTTGCAAATGTCTTCGCGCTGCCATACCGTTCAGCTCCGCGTTTGGAGGAATGGTACTAAATAAAATCAGTAGTCATTGAATAAACCAGTCTCACTTGCAAATAAACACCTTTTAATTATTTCCATACCTTTGATATATAAGGTCATCTTGTCCACTTTTGTTTAATCGTCTAACTATGATTCGATTATATTTTTATTCAACGCACAGCGGAGGAAAGTATCATGGACGTCAAAGGCTGGTGGGGCATCAAAATGAAAGACGAGTTRCTTCGCAAAGAGCGACAAAACGTTATCATCGTCGATTGGATAAAAGGTGCCAAATTTCCTTATCACCAAGCCGTGGGAAACACTCGGCTCATTGGAGCCCAGGTAGCGCATTTTATAATGGCCGTGAAGGAACTGATCAGAAGAGCTGGAGTTGATCATTCTCCGATACATATTATTGGATTTAGTTTGGGCGCGCACATTGCGGGTTTCGTTGGAAGAAGGTTAAGAGCTAAGGGAGATTTTCTCGATAGGATAACAGGTTAGTCTTGTTTCAGGGTATTGGKAAAATTTGAAGGTTGAAGGTATATTGCACCTTGTGTCTACTGCAACAAAGGTAGCGCGCAACGTCAACGGCTGTATCGAGTGTTTGAGCATGAATGGAGTGCTTTTCATCTTAAGCTTTCTACGTCCCAGTTAACTCCAGAAGCGAAAAATCTGTCCTCCCATTTTTGCTTTCGTATATCAAATTTAAAGCGGTCTCGACCAATATTCATTTATCTATTTTCGACATATTTCAGGCTTGGATCCAGCGACACTTACCTTCAAGAATACTCACATTAACGTGAGACTTGATCCAAGTGACGCAAAGTTTGTTGACATCATCCACAGCAGCTACATGCTTGGCATCTCGGCCCCACAGGGTCATAGAGACTTTTATCCAAACGGAGGAGATTTTCAAGATGGGTGCAATACTCTTGATGGTAATATCTCAATAGCCCCTTTCCAGCYCAGTAATCACGTGCTGATTAATTCACTGAGAGCAAATGAATGAACATTTTGATTCCCATGGGTGAAATTTAATGGAGRGCAAACACAATTTCTACAACCTGTTTCGAGAGATCGTAATAAAAATGCATTTCGTAACACACTAGCTGGTCACACATCGTTTAATTCATTTCTTTACGAGTAGATTAAGGGAATCACCAATTTAAAATAATAATAATGATTTGCACTCCTTTACAGACATGTGACCGCTAACTGCAAAGGGGCTATTCCCTCTTTACTGTTCAAGTCCTAATGTTCATCCGTTTTCYTTATTAAATGTTTTCCATTAAAGTAATCTTAGGAATAAGATTCATTAGAATCTTCGTTGGAATGCAGCTCAATATCTTCAGCTAATTTGCATCCTGCATGCTTAGATCAAGATTGAAGACGATTCTTAATACTAGTCAATCTTTGATCATGAAGGTCCTTGCCATCACGTTCGGTCTGCCCTTTACTTCACTGAGACTATCAGATCCGCATGCCCTTGGCGAAGCTACCGCTGTATTTCTAAAGAGGAATTTGATCGCGGACACTGTCTAAGCTGTGACGCAGGGTGCCCACGCATAGGGTATGATGCAGATATGAATAAAAACATCGGAAATGGAGAATTCTTTTTGTACACAGCTTCGCAACCTCCATTTTGCGGTGAGTAGARTTGTAAAAAAGCAGAAAGTATATTTTAAAATTACCCTTACCTTGAGCGTAATGTTTTCCCATTTCAGCGTAATTGTTATTCCATAGAATATCATTTCTTTGTCTAACGGTTGCACACGAGAAGACATACGAATATGGATGCATGCGCAGCTCAAACAAACAAAAAATCATTCTCAAGGAAATGACACGTGGTCTGTAAAGGGAAAACATTACGACCACGCCGAAAAGGTCTCAGTATTCTATATCAGGAATGTGTTGTATTGTTCTTGCAAACTGTTTTTTGGATTTGGTCCTCCACAGTGTATCACTACTTGGTAACGATTCACACGTCTTATACTTGGTTGTCTGGAATCAATGCACATATCTATATCATGTTATCCGGGACAARAGGGAGTACAGGGACAATTAAACTAGTCCAGTAAGTTAATGATATTTCATTCCTAATCACTAGCTAAATGGAAATATCCCTCCATGATCCCTCCATCCCACCATCCATCCTTCCCTCCATCCCTCCACCCCTCCATCCCTCCCTCCTTATTAATATCTTTCCTTCCTTCCTTCCTTCCTTCCTTCCTTCCTTCCTTCCTTCCTCCTTTTCTTCTTATATCTTTCCTGCTTCATACTTTCTTAAATCCATTTATCCTCGCTTACCCTCCTTATCCCTTTCGCTATTCCCTTAGTAAGCTTTGCATGTCACTCCTCCCATATATTTTCTATTAATACTTCATTTTCATTGTGTGGTGCAGGCGAGACATCAGCAGTGGTAGCGTGGAAGGCTTTGTCGCTAAATCCCCAATGGATCTTGGAGAACTTCGTGGAATCAGYGTTTGGCATTTGCACCTCACTGAATTCTGGAAAGTCGATAAAATCAAAGTCAGAACTGGATGGAAGTATTTTACGTAAGTTTGCTTTTTCCCTTCGAAATTAAAATGTCTCTCCGTACAGGAATYCCARTTATGTTCCAGAGAAAAACTATGGAGTAGTCTGWGGAGAAGATTAGCCTCAGCAAAAAACCTTTATCATCATGTATGTGTTACGGCTGGTATAGTGTATGTATGACTTCAAAAAGAGTGTAGGTTTTRGACCCACAACCCCTCAAAAAAATCCTGGATCCACCCTTGTGGTAGGACAAAATAACTCAACATTCATCATAATRATGACCAATGACCATTCCTCTTCACGTTCCCAGGTACAGCGCTTGCTTTCATGAGTGGATTCATTATAACGATCGAACAACAAAAGCACTGACAGTTGGTAACCTATCTTGTTAAACGATCAGATACTAAAAACAGTCACAAAGTACAATTTATTTCCCCCTGATGTACAAGCATATGAATTTTGATAAAGGCTCAGTTTTTCTCTGAAAATCTTAAATTGATTTAGGCTATGTCCTGATGTCAGGTAGACTCTTTCAATTTTTCCATCACTCGTCTCATGCACTATAAGGATGATCACCATATGGTGAAGTACATGATAAAGGAGCGACAAACATGCAATGCGACGTCGCCTGCAATGTTGCATGAAAAGGCTGTCTTTTGGGTGTTAGACGCTTGCGATGTCACGTCGCAGATGTAGAAACAACGACGCATGCAACATGTACATCGCACCCTGTGTCCGCACTTCAAGGRTTTGCTAAAACTAATTTTACAATGCTGAAGCTGAATATGACGTTTGCGTGATGGCGTCATTGACCTCTACTACCAGACTCCCTTGCACACTTTTTTCGTTCATTTAATTAGCACCAACTGTCTTATTATTCTCATGAGGGAACACAAATTTGAATAAGAAAAAAAATTTGCAAAGCATCATGGTCGTGGAAGTCAAATGAAGCCAAGCCTATTGATATGTTTGTTTTTCAAACATTTTATAAGCCTTATCTTATGTATACTGTCACCGCGGTATTTGGTAGCTATCACTGAGTTCTAAGTCCTTGTTTTCTTTGTGTTTTTGCCAACGTTATGTCACCCTCAAACGACCATGATTCTTCAGTAGTGTTAAAACGAAATATCGTTTTCATKAATGTGACGTCATAATGAAATAGGGCGATTGAATCAGTCTGTTTTCAGTTGGAGTTTTTTCGTTTTCCTTCTTCCGTCTTTCATCATCTTAATATRACCTGTCGATGATGAATATCCTTTTTTGCCCTTTCGTATTTGCTCTCTTATTTCGTGTGGTAAAAAATTACATACACACATAGAGAAACTTTTTTAAATTCCATATCGTAAAGTTAAATGCAATCTTTTAGATTCCTTGTATCGTACTTCCTGTGTTGGATCTCGTGAATAAATCATGACTCTTTTTCCCAACCCTTCCCTACGCATACCTGTGACAGGAAGCCCAATTCGAATATAAAACACTCTCCCTTCCCATGCATACAAATCTATGATGAGTTTCCAAATCCAAATATAGTAGATAATATTTATAGAGGGCTGAGGTCACAATGTTCGTGTAAGTTAACACACTTCCACGAGCTCCGAACGCCATYCTTCAGCGTGAATATTCTTTATGTATTCTTGTATATTACTAGTTTAGACAAGAAAAAGTTGTTTTGCATGCAGATATACAAAATATGACACTTTGTTTACATAGCAGGGGTACAAAGGGTATCATGCGCGGAAGTCAGTCGGTCGCTTAGTCGTTGAGGATTACTGATTTGGAAYAGTCACTGTCTGAGAAATTTGATTAATTCCTAAGCCTGCAGCAAAGGAATTAACRCAGAGTTTACAAGCAAGCAGCAAAGAGTATTACAAGAGTGAGTGACTTGCCATTCGCCACCAGAACCACCAAATTGGATGTTCATCCGACTGGACTAAATACTTTAACGAAAGATCTTTCTGTTTCTTGCTGTGAAGTACAATAAACATCTTCAAAGTTTCACTGGCTAGACCAGCCATCCATGTTCGTTGAACTTGGAACCAAGATTTATAATTCGAAGTTAGGATGAGCATTTCTGTGACTTACTTTACAAAAGCATTTCGTTTTAACAAGGTGAGACWTTTTGCACTAATTTTTTATTACTATGATTTGAAGTTCTGACAATTTGTGAATTGTTGTTTTTATAGTTCGTGGAAAAATAATAGCGATTTTATGTTAATGCTTAGAGGAATGGCTTTGACCTTTGGTTCAGCTATCAAGACTGTTTTGATTTTCACTGYCGCTATATTGGACTTATGTGCACCACAAGAGGTTCAACCAACTCAAGGCAGACCAGGTCAGTTACTTTAGAAGCTTGAAAACAATCAACAATTATTTATGATGAATCAATTCTGTTTGAGTATCTTATGCGTTGACAATAAATCATTTGAAAGACGTCAGTGCTAAAATATTTGTCACGCTACGGAAACGTTCCCTCATTAATTCGTGTGACAAATTGAGTGAGTGTTTTGAACGTCAAGAACCAGTGCAAAATGTTTTCCTTTCATTTTTCTTTTTATACAGCATAAAATAGCGCACTCAAAATTCACAGACTTACAGTCCCTGTTCCAAACTACATTTCATAATAGAATATGCATGATTCTCTTTGTTTACTAACTGAGACGGCAAAGGATTGAACGGGAAAATATAATTCAACGAACTAGAACGTGCATTGTGGACTACTTCTCAATTTTCTGTCAAGTGGTGAATTGCTCTCATTTAGCAAATTTGGAAAGTTTTGTCTATTAATTTAGATTTTTTGGACCAGTTTTGTCCAAGACTTCAAGCTAATTGTGGTGCGTTACCTTTCACAGCGTACAGTCATATTGGCTGCTATTATCAAGTACATTCATGCGGATCACCACCATACTACATGGAAGTGGCGCGACCCAATGTTCCAATATTTGACGCGTGTTTGGAACTGGCCAGAAAAAGAGGTTTAAAGCATTTTGGTGTGCAAGCCATGCAGCAAACRGATTGCATAACTGGACCGAATTTCCTGAAGCCCCAGACATCTGATTGTCTGAAAAGACAAATGTGCAAACTGGACCAAAAGCAACTATCTTATTACTCCTATGATCTGTACGTTATAAAAGAAGTCCCAAGTGAGTCCTAAGATGATGATGATAATGATGACTTACATGTTGGTGATGATGATGAAAATGATGATGATAATGGTGGTGGTGATTATGATCAGGATGATGATAATAATGATGATAATGATGATAATGGTGATAGTGATCATATGTCGATGACGATGACGATGATGAGGACTAACATGATAGATCATGAAGATGGTGATGATGATGTTGGTGATGATAATGATGGTACAGTTGATGATGATGATGATGAAGGTAATGATGGTGATGATGATGATGGCAATGATGACGATGATGATTGATCATACGATAACGACAATGACATAACGATGTCATGACGATAGCAGGAGGATAACACGAGGACGATGATGATGATAACATTGTTTATTGATGATGGTGATGATGATGAAGCTAATTGATGATGATAATTCTGCGGCCATGGTTGATTATGACAAGTACCGTACATGCCCAAAAGAATCAATTCCCTAGAATATTTCAATTGTTTTCAGATACTTTTTTGAAGATTGTTCGTTCTCCAGTAAACGTWACAGCCAACGAGAAAAACACAGTAGAAATAAGATGCGAATTTGAAGGYAACCCGTTCCCAGTATTGACCTGGCTTAAGAATGAACAAGCCCTGGACTTTAAGCAACATTCCAATAGAATGAAAACAAACATAACGCAACGAACGAGCACTAGTGGAGTCGGTSTTCTTTGGATATCCAACCTGGAGATAGATGACGAAGGATACTACAAATGTAGAATCCAGAATAAAATAAACGTCACGATATCAGAGGCAGGGTATTTGACAATCAGATGTAAGTGGAATACTTCAATAGTAATATATTAGCCTTGTAATTTGCATTGTGGTATTCTCTGTAGTGGCAGCAAATGATGAGTATTAGGAATTTTAAGTTGTGACGTTTTCTTTTTGTTTGGATCAGTTTTTGTGTTGTATTGAGTTCACTTGTAATGCCTTATTTGATTAATTTGATTTGATTGTATCGTATCTTTGAGATGCGCGAGAGAATCTGTTCCTTTCCTATATATTTGTTTTGAGTCTTTTTTCCTTTCCTTCAATTTCTATCTTTTTTCACTTCCATATTTTCTTCTTGTTTGCTTTGCTTTGCTTTGCTTTGCTT